CAGCAATATCATGAATTAATAATATTAAAGATGGTGGCTTCATAATAGTTTTCTATCGCATCACGTTTTTAGTTTCTTGTTTCAAAATCTGTCCATGWAGAACTGGTAAAGTCATAAAATCTAATTAAAAGGAGTTTCTATTCTAGATTTAAGACACCATTTACAAAAAAACAAATTAGTCAAATAAGTGTGACAAAGAAAGACATTAAAGAAACACTGGAATTTTTACTAACTAGCATCATTTCACTTGATTTTGCACCAAATTCTGAGATTCTTAACCTTCCTTTCCAGAGCTATAATCATGAATCTCGCTCATCTTGGAGTCCCAATCGCTCAAGATGTAAGTAGCTAGTCAGATTTCCCATCCATTTAAACACTTATTCGTTCTCTTATCCATTTTTTATTTATATCTGACTAAACAAATGTCTTTTTTYTCAGTCCGGAAAGAAGAAAATGAAACCGGARCGCAAGGAACGCAACGAGTCTGTKTATCAGTTATCGCGATGGGTTCCTTACGTAAAGGACATAATGGAAGTACGTAAGATAGTCTCATTAGGTCTTACGTGTTTTTATACGCTTATGTCTTACGCTTTTAAAAAACGTTATCCTCTATATTATGTTGTTAACTGTTGACTTTCACGCAGTAAAGAGCCATTTTGTCGTTAAAAAACTAGTTTTTTTGATTTACATTGCCGGCGCASTTAGACCTTCCTAACCAGAAGGTAATGTAAAACCTTGCTTACGTAAATTTACGTTCATTACGGAGTTAAAGTAACTTAGGTTTACAAGAAATCATTCCACAACAAGTKAATTTTTTGATGATATTCTTGAATTCATGAATTTTGATTCGGCTTCTAGCATTGTTTTCCCCTTAAAGTCATGCAGACGAGATTCAAATTTAATTCGTGTATCTTTTTGTACAATACAGGATGCCGTGGAAGACAAACTCAGCAATTCAATGTTCCCTTATTTAAATCAGCGGACTGCTGGAGGCATCTCTACTGCAGGTTAGACAAGTACCCCAAGCTTAATGTCYCGCAGTGACGCCATTTTGTAGAGCAAAGTATGATGGGAAATGTAGCCGTTGTACTTCCTCTGGTACTCTAAAATAACCCACAAATGTTGTTTCCTTTGATTTTTGAATAGGCAACAAAAAAAATGTATTATGGAAATCATTTAAACGTCCATTAAAAGGCGCGAGTGTCGCGAGGAGTATATTTGCCGTTAAATTATATTCTATAAAGGTCGCCGAATTAGACGGCGCAACTTTTACCTACAACCATCGCATACACAGGGGCGGATCAAGGACTTTCCTCAGGGAGGGGTGCGGGGCACTCCGGGGGCGGGGGGTGCGCACCCCTCCAGCCACCAGCTGGATCCACCCCTGGTACAGCCTGCCCAAGCCTCTTTAGAACATATCGTAGGGCTATTAAGCAATTATTATGAATGTCTWCGAAAGTTGTAGCCATATTGTAAGTCCGTCTGTCTTGAATTCTTGTCATCAGCTACCGGCCAAGCTGTCAGTGCTCGTTTTGGTAATTGGTACAAAAACAAGGTAGGAAAAGAAAAACATTTATTGACACAGGCAGTCCAGCCCTGGCATACTTAGGGCGCTTTCCATTTGTCAGAACTGGCTGGCCAGACCCAGAGAAAATGTCATTCTRTATCATTCCYATTTAGTYGGGAAATTCAAATTTTCAATTCTATACATTGTTCTTTAGAAAACSTCGAAATGACTGAAAAATGTTGACAAAAAGCATAATATACCTCTAAATAGAGCGGACTGGCCGGCCAATTCTGCTTAAATGGAAAGCGCCCTTAATGACCCTTTCCCAAGATGTTGGTTCTCGGCATAACCAAAGCGAATTTCTCGTATTTACAATGGATGAAGAAAATTGCTAAACAAGCAAAATGTCTAAGGGAAAAGCTGTATTCTTTGTCATCCTGTTCAGGAATTATCGTAAGGAGTCAAGAGAACTTTTCATAAAATAACCCAAAAATAAATCGTTATGAAAACTGTGGATGCAGTGCCTAAAAACCATTCGACAGAAATAGAATCTATCTGAAAACATGCGAGTTTGTAGTAAACACTTTGCAGCCAAAATATGATCATCAAAGCGTAAYGTTATTGCTTGCAATTAATTTTCTAATCTGTTGTGAACACGAGAAAATGTTGTGACCTAGCCAAWGCCTYGCTTTGGTTCTGCAGAATCAASATCTTGGTAAAGGGCCATTTTAAGCAATTATTTTCTGTTTGACACACTAGGCATCAAGCGATGCACGTGATGTGCCACGCCTTATTGTGTTCATTGTTGGAGGGGTGGCATATTCTGAATTACGAGCCGCTTATGAGGTAAGTAGAAATTAACCTTCTTCTACCCATCATTCCCTTCGAGCGTACTGGTCACGTGTCAATTCTCCTTTTCAAGGGAATAGCCGACTTGCGAATTACGCATCAATAGTAACATACAAAGGAATCAAGACGAGGCGCCGTGCTTTTTTGTGAAAAATCTATTGTCTTTAGCACGGCGCCTCGTCTTGATTCCTTTGTATGTGACTATTGATGCGTAATTCGCAAGTCGGCTATTCATACACTCAAACGACTCTTTTCTGGCTTCATTTTCTCACAGACTACAACGCAAATTTGATGTTTTTTCAATTTTCTGTACCTCAGGTCACAAATTCGAATAAAAACTGGGAAGTACTGATTGGTAAGATGCGATTAATTTTATCATTAATCAAACACATTTTGATAGCTACACTTTACCCATATATTTTAATAATGGTCTAAGTTGAGTACAAACACTAAAAGCGTGTAATACTTTGCACTATTTACTACAAAATAGCGCTAATAAACAAAAGAAAACAATAGAATTAGCATAATTTAATTTTAAATTGTACTCTAGAGTGAACGCACTTAATCCGTGCAACTGTACAAAATCTAAGTAGTACTAATTTGTACTAAAGACGGTAGACAAGCAAGACGRTATTGAATGCTTCATTTGTATCAATTCAATTTAATTTGCGTACCGCATGCACRATACAACTATATAGAACTATTTAGTTTGTACAGTTGCAAGGATTAAGTGCGATCACTCTATCACAAATGATGCAAAAACTTTAGACACTATAACACTTACATTATTTTTTTCCTTATCTCCTTCAGTTAAATAGCTATGTCGTATCATATTGCTTATTTAGAATTTAAAGATGGCTTATGAAAAGCTAAAACATGTCTTGTTTAAACTTAAAAAGTTGTGTCTTCTACTTAAAATTTGAATAATGGAATTCTCCTGGTGTTTTTTTTTTTTAGGATCTGATCAAATTGTAACTCCAAAACTGTTCCTCGAAAAGCTTGGAACTCTCTCTTCCATCTGAATGGTAATAACAGGGCTATCTACGATTCTGTCTCGTTGATGGCCTGCGTAGCGGCCCTCTTGGGATCCCTGTGKCGGAAGAAGAGGACTGCTGCGCAGGTTTGTTAACATCTTTCTATCAGCTTGTCATATCTACGTTTTTTGTTTGTTTGTTTCATTTCRGATCTACAATTTCAAGAATACTGGCAAGCTGACACACAAATATATCCCTTTTAAATATATTTTATAACTATAATGAATTCCAAGTGCATAAGTTGTCCAGAGAAAAGAAAATATGCTGTATGGTTTCGTCATGTTCTTGTTGTTGACCGTGAAGAATTATGGGTGAAAAAAGTCTTCGAGAATAATTTCGATGTCTTCGTTACTTCAAATCATACCAGAATATGGTAAAATAAATAAGGCTCTATATTTAAACCAGACACTTCTTGTCAGGTTCAAGGTGTTCGATCTTCACAGAGTCAAAAACCCGTGAATCAACGGTTCCTAAGTAGGATTGTTTTAGCGAACATGAATAAAAAAATAATGATAATAAATATAAAGTGCGAGGACTAAACCTCCATCTTTGTTTGTTGTAAGCAATGGCGTCGCCTGCATCTTGCACTCGTACGGAAGTGTCAGCTCTATTCTATTCAAAATACAGTAAAAATACTCGTCTTTTGTGCTGTTAAAAAAAAAAAGTAAGGGGATCACGAAAAGTGGATGAAAGATGGAAATAAATGGATATTATTGTCAATGATAACGAAATCACATCAGCTAATGTAAATAATTGAACAGTAATTAAACAGTTTTGTAATATTAAATGAAGTTTTGAACTCTCGGAACCTTTTCATGAAGTTAGTATCGAGTACTACGAGTGTGAGAAAATGGGACATTTKAAGGGGTTGAAGGGTACTAAACCCATAAGTGAACCCATTCCTTGRCCCTGAACGCCATTATGATCAATAACTATTTTCATGATTAYAYAGACACAGGAAAACAAAATAAAGCGAATTTTTTGTGGCTAGTACCTCGTAACAAGGCTGAAGCCACTATGCTATCGTTTATTTAAGTTTAGATCGCCATTGACCCATTGCTGTTCACCTGCTATGGATGTTTWTWAAAAAACTTTTAGAGAAAGCATTTTCAGCTCAAAACGAACTCATTCCTTTCAACCTGAACTGTTTTTGTTTCCATTATACGAACTACGGCTCCGTTCGGAAGTATTATTATATTTTTTCGTTCGCCATGTTCGTACTAGTTCCACGAGTTCTGCTATTCACATGCCTACATGGTTGAGAAAACACGGAAATTCACGTGGCCATTACCCAGCTCGAATGTGCTGAAGCCCCRAATGTCATCCATGGCGAGGCCCATGACGCAGGAATGTTCCAGTTGATGTCAATGTCGTTACGTAGCAACATAAAAAAATCCATTTTCAGGTATAAAAACGAACCAATTCCTTCAAACTGAACCCTGAACCGTATTTAGTAATGGTCAATTTTCCTCTCATATCATACAAACAGCTTTAATCTCTCACGAAGTATTGGAATTATATCTCGTATTTTTCTTGATGTCCGCCATGTTGTTCGTATTTGTTTCACGAGTTCTGCTATTCACATGGTATGTGTTGAGAAACTCAACACGGAAATTCACGTGGCCGTTACCCAGTTCGAATGTGCTGAAGCCCCGAATGGTACCCATGATCGTGCAGGAGTTGAATAAATATCGTCATTTTAAATTCTCGTGTGCTTTTCCTGGTTGTTTTTGAACAAAACCAAGGAACGTGAGGGATTTGTCACACGACCACCACTCCGGCCAAGAAGCCCTCGCTGTCATATATAAAAGAGGAGCTCTTTACCATCCTTTNTTTAGTAATGGTCAATTTTCCTCTCATATCATACAAACAGCTTTAATCTCTCACGAAGTATTGGAATTATATCTCGTATATTTTTCTTGATGTCCGCCATGTTGTTCGTATTTGTTTCACGAGTTCTGCTACTCACATGGTATGTGTTGAGAAACAACATGGAAATTCACGTGGCCGTTACCCAGCTCGAATGTGCTGAAGCCCCGAATGTCATCCATGGCGAGGTCCATGACGCAGGAATGTTCCAGTTGATCGGTCAATGTCGTTACGTAGCAACATAAAAAATCCATTTTCAGTTATAAAAACGTGGTCTCTCACGAAGTATTGGAATTATATCTCGTATTTTTCTTGATGTCCGCCATGTTGTTCGTATTTGTTTCACGAGTTCTGCTATTCACATGGTATGTGTTGAGAAACTCAACACGGAAATTCACGTGGCCGTTACCCAGTTCGAATGTGCTGAAGCCCCGAATGGTACCCATGATCGTGCAGGAGTTGAATAAATATCGTCATTTTAAATTCTCGTGTGCTTTTCCTGGTTGTTTTTGAACAAAAYCAAGGAACGTGAGGGATTTGTCACACGACCACCACTCCGGCCAAGAAGCCCTCGCTGTCATATATAAAAGAGGAGCTCTTTACCATCCTTTTTTATACTAGTTGATAATCATGCATATTGCAAAGAGGTAAGTTCTGATATTACACAGCTAAGGGTTCTATTGGTAGTTCTTAGTCATAATCGTGTTTTGTTTAATTGTTGCTCAACTATATAGATATTAAAAGGATTTCTTGCATTACTCCACTTTTATAGGTATTATTTTTCCCATCAGTTCTAGAAATATACTATTTGTCATATCAGGGCCTGAATTTCGAGTCTCAGTTCGTACCTAACAGCATATTGGTAAGTAGTTTTTGATGTTGAATTTTTACTGGTAAGCAGAGAGAAGAGCTCTCGTTCTTTTAGGTATTATTTTTTCGGTATTCTCGAAATATACTATTTGTCATATCAGGGACTGGATTTCGAGTCTCAGTTCGTACCTAGCAGCACATTGGTAAGTAGTTTTTGATGTTGAGTTTTTACTGGTAAGCAGAGAAGAAACCTCGTTTGATTTCTTGCATTGCTCCAATATAAGGTACGCTGATTTTTCTTATTCTAGAACTATACTATTTTTGAACAGAGAAATTCCAGAAGTAGAGAATACCGAATTTGCTCGACACGGGGCGCTTATTCAATTCGGGGGGGCCGATTTCTCTGTTCGACGCCGCTGTTCGTGTATCTTTATTCATTTATTTTTTTCCACGTCGCAGTGTCGCAGTTTAGTAATCCCAAGGGACCCATAATCCAGAGTCCTCGACTCGAGCACATCTGAAAAATTCCGGCTTTCTTTTTTCTTTCTCTTTTTAACTGAAATATAGGTGTTCTAGTCATGCGTTTGTTAAATTTTAGAAACACAAAGCACGATGATACTCKAACAGCGGCGTCGAACAGAGAAATCTCCTCCAGTCTCGAGCACATTTTTTTTCATAGTTGATATAGTCATCTTGATTTTCTGTAGATTTTGTTTAATGATAGTTTTCGAGCCATTACTTTTAATTTTACACAGAATATTATATACTCGAAAGCGTCGAACTTAGGATCGCGGACTTGATTCTCGACTCATTTTTTTTCTTTCTTTTTAACTGAAAAGAAGTTGTCATAGTCATGTTGAATTTTTTTCTGTAGATATCCCTTTAACAATTATTTTCGAGGCGTTATTTTGATTTTTACATAGACTTTCATACTCGAATAGCGTCGAACATAGGATCGCGGGTTCGATCGCTTTTACATGTAAGCGATTCTTTTTTCTTTCCTTCTTTTTTTTACTGAAATATACTTATTCTTATTCTTATTTTTCCTGTAGATATTTGTTTTTACATATTTTACACGCAAGATCGTACTTGAATAGCGGCGTTGAACTGAATATCTCGGGTTAGATTCGGATCGGCTCCAGCARTTTCTAAACAATTTTTTTTTCTTTCTTTCTTTAACTTTAAAATATACTCGTTCTCAGTCAAAGCAGAAGTACACGGGCAACGCGCTGGCAGTGTTTCGTAGGAATTTACTCGTTCTTTAAAAGTCTAAAGAAAAATACCCATGCCACAGCAGTCATACCCAGCACTGCGGCACCGCGGA